GTCTTCAGCATTTAAAAACATGGCTGTCAGCAGCAGTGTATAGTAGGTATAGTTAGAGAACAGGTGAACCTTCCAGATAGAACGGACCAGCTCCTGGTTGGCGATGTAATAGTTAAACAACCCAAAGAACAAATAGGAAACCAGGTTGAACCACATGACGGCAATACAGATGATAAAATTGCTTTTGCGGAATACATTTTCCTTAGCCGGCAGATCCAGGAAATCGAAAAAAAGGCAGAAAGACCAGAACAGGATAATCACTCCTTCCAGCTTCGTAAAGTTTCCCGGAAATGTATGTAGCCCCTGGATCCATAAGCTATTCAATATGGCAAACAGGAACAGAATTGTCCATACCGGCAATATTGTTTTCTTCCATTTTGATTGCAGGTTCCGGTGAAAAAAAACAGCCCATAGGGTAAACTGGATAGGATGATAGACCTGGTACACCGCGATATTATTATGAACGGTGAGCGCCAGTATTTTACTCAGCATTTCACTGCAACAGGTAATGCCCAGTAACCATACAACGGGCAGTACGGTTCGTTTACGCCGGAAGCGGTATAAGCCGACGATGAACCCGGCGCCGATAATACAGATATAGATCGTATAGTGTGGCGGAAAGATAACCCGGCTCGTTAGTAGGATACCCGGCATTATATGGAAGGGGCGCTGGCCGGCCTGTCGGTATATATCTTCTCTCCCTCAGGCCCTTTGAAGAACCAGACCTTATCATCCTGGGGATTATTGGGGTCCATCCAATAATAAACGCCCTCATGCTCCCAGCAGTTCAATCCTGATTCTGAAAAAAGAGGAGCGCAAAGACTGGGGCAAGGTTCCAGCGTATTAATAATCGGGCGCATACGGGTATCCTCATCAATATCAATATCCAGGTGGCCGTTTTCGCCGATGGGCACTGCGATGATATTCAGAAAACCGGACTCCTCCCTGCAAAAATGCAGCCTGATGCCCTGTACTGCCCGCTTGTATAAGAAGTCCAGGTCTTCCTGGTTGAGCGACAGGCTGTGGATGATCTGCTGGTCTTCCGGCTGCTCCCGGTTGGTAGACGTATAGATATGCGG